TTAGTATATAAACACACAAAATGAATATTTTAGTTTAATAATGCCTATTTTATAATTATAATGTCAAAAAATAAAGAATAAAATAGTATTTTATAATAAATAGTACAAAACTGCTTGACGATTAGGCGAGGTGAGCCTCAAAGGGCGCCTTGTCGCCTAGGCATCGCCTTGACAACTATGGTCCAATCTACCTTCCCAAATCCCAAGACCCCAGATAGCTGGGACCAACATTGAGTAATATACCCTTTGACAGTTTCTCAATTTGTGCATGTCATTCATTTTATTTTTTTTGATGAATTTTGTGCATGTCATTCTTGTGCAAGGGACATGCTATTTCATGAGTAGTCATCTGTGATTGTGGTCTGCAAAGGGTGATCTATGAGACCTTCAACAGAATGGACGAATCCTCATTCAATTTGGTGGTCTCTTAGAATCTTGGTACTGATTCCTCTCTTCCATATTTACCACATGGGTCCATTAAACATGTCTGTTACATGACGTTTGGAAGTGCAACTCACTGGTTGGCCTAAAAACATGTGCTGATGTGTTCTGATAATATTCAGAGTAGGATTGATTGAAGCCCTGGTTATAAATTCAGTGATCTTATTCCAATCATGGTGCCCCCTTGTGACATTGCAGGGGTCAATTAGTTGGGAGGAGAGTTTTTTGAGGCAGATTAAACGAAGGGGTTGATCAGAAGAAAAGAAGATTACATGTTTTTTCTTGATTTCTATGGGTATGATTGATAGCCTGAATATCCAGATGACCATTCTAAAACTAGATGAAACAATTTTTTTTTCTTTCGATAATAAAAGCTAGATGGAACAAATTTCATGCATTGTTTTAAAAGGCTTAAGCCTTGAGGCGCGAGGCATACACCTTGAGGTGAGATGCACAGATTTTCGCTCAAGGTTTGGTGTGAGGCTTAAGCCTTTGTCAGAATAACACATAATCCTCACGCCTCAATGGTTATTTAGTGATTTAATTCAAAATATCTAACAGTTTCTCTTAGTAAGCCATAAAAAGGGCCAATCAAGTTTTTAATTTCTCTTGGATAAATCAAGTGAGATTTTTTTTTATTATTCTTCTAAATCTAGCATCCCAAATTTGTTATCTTTTTCATTTCTTTTCCTAATGTACTTATTTTCCTTTTATTTATTTATTTATTTATTTTGCATAGACCAAATCAGCTAAGTGTTTCCTTTTTTCTAAACTATTGGATGACCATAAATCTAATATCAATTATATGAATGATTCTTCATATGTTTCCTTTGAATCCTTTCATCTAAATTGGTCATTTGAATAATTTGAGAACTTTGCATTTTGAAACATGAAATGTAAAATGTTTATAATTGTTAGTTGATTAGTTATTATTTTATTTAATGTTTAAACATTGAAACTTATTGCTTATAAACTTCTATTTTATGGATACTTGTACCTTCTATCATTCTAATTTGGTATATTATATATTATTTTTATCAATTTATAAATTTTAATTAATTTTTTTCTTAAGCTTTGAGGCTTACACCTTGCAATGCCTTGAGGCCTATGCCTTACCTTTTCAAGCCATTACCCTCAACTACACCTTTAGCCTTTTAAAACCTTGATTTCATGGAGTGGTTTCAATTTGCAAAATTCTATGTGGGTACATTGCCACAAGAGGAAAACTGGGCTACCTTATAAAGCAAGGCGTAGCAACCTAAACCTGAAGATCTTGCTTGCCCTAAGTAACCTGATGGTTATGCCATAGCTTGTTTGTACAATGCAACAGATAACATAGAATACATGTTCCTATCCACACCGAAACAAATATGGGATAGTCTCTGTCTGTGTATTTATGTTCAGTGGGGACCTTGCAGGAGGAGAACCTAATAATCGGGGATCATATCTAATGTCTTTAAGAGAAAGTGGGTAAGATAGTCATGATAGCTTTCAAAGGGCTCCTGTAAGTGAGGTTCCCAGAAATACCAGAATCCCACCCATTACATCTTAACACATGGATGCACTTGATTACCAAATGTCACAGAATTATTTTCAATGGGAAACGTCCATAACCACATCCCCAAACAAGCAGTATTTCTTTCCCTCAATCTTCGAAGTTCCAATCCCTAAACCCCCTGTCTTTACGATTTGTTAAATTCTCCCAACTTAATAGGTGGCCCTTCTTGTCATTCCCCACATCCCAAAGAAAGTCCCTTATATTTTTCTTTTTAATTTTGTTTATTATTTTGATGGGGGCTCTAAACAGGGAAAAGAAATAAACCAAGGCCCCGTTCATTTTTTATCTGGTCATTTACCTAGGTAAATTAACTTACCTACCTGGGCAAGTGCATTTACCCATGTTCTTTTGTTTCCCAGGCAAATAAAACAATGACCATTTTAGCCATAAAAAGCTATTACTAAAAGGGGCAATTTTGTCCCTTCATGTATTGGCAACTTCCCCCTAGGTGGGAAAGTTACTTATCCACTTGGAGATGGGTATCACTTACCCATGGGCCCCACATGAATCTGAAAAATAAGCATGAGTATCTCGGTCAATGGGAAGCAAAATCCCATTGACTGACTCCCCCCAAGCCCTTCAAAATCCAAAAAACGAACAAGGGCCAAGAGGTTAGAAAAAGTAGATTTGATAAGAGTTAATCTTCTATTTACATTCAGATGCAAGAAGAAAAGTGAAAAAGAGGAAAAGAAGAAAGTTTGAAAATAGGGTGGCAGCTCAATGAATCTCCTAGCCCTACCAGATATCTTTTATAAGAGAAGCTAATAATACGTGAAAAGACAACTCTGCCCCTGATTAGATGGAAGCAAATAGAAGACATAAAAAGATTCAAGGCCCAGACACACTAAGTCCAAGAAAAGAAATAAAAGTACTACAACCTAGGCCCAATATTACACACTAAACCCATACATTTGAGCCATACAAAACTCCACCTCAAGCTAAGAAGTTATCTATCATGCCCAACTTGCACAATAATTCAATGAATCTTGCATAAGTGAGACCCTTAGTGAACGCATTGGCCAATGTCTCGTAGATAGTAGTGTTTTAAAAGCGCAAGGCACAAAAAAGGCACAAGGGTCAATTTGCATGCAAGGCGAGACGCACGCCTTTTTGAAGCAAGGCACAAAAATAAAAAATAAAAAATAACTACAAATAAAAAAAAGGCCAAAAATTCAAAAAATGCAAAAATAAATAAAAATATTAAACATAATATTAATAAAAAATATAAACCTAACATGTAAAACATATTCAACTGAGAATTTAAAAATAAAATCAAACATATAAAACATTTTCAAGCATGTAAAACCCATAATCTCTTTTCTTCGCTTGCTCACTGAAGCTCTGAAAACCCTCTAATTGGTAATGTTGTTCATTCATTCATCCTAATAAAATATCTTATTGAAAAGCAATTAAAATTATAAAATCATTATTTTTTGTGTGAGAACTAAGAATTTAATTGCGTGAGAACTAAGAATTTAAGGCCCTAACATGGACTTGTTTGGACTTGCCTCGAGGGGCGTGGCATGGGGGTTTGGGAGCTTCGCCCCCAGCCCAACCGCTAGGTTCAAAAAAAGGAAAAAAGTGTCAACCTTTCAAAAGGCACACACCTAGGTGCACCAAGCGTACACCTTTTGAAAGGGTTGCGCCTAGGACCTAGGCAAGGTGCATACCCTAAAATGTGCCTCACCTGTGCACCTAGGCACGCCTTTTAAGTCATTGGTAGATAGCATATATGAAATGCAAAGGTCTCCAAAAAACAACTCTCTCTCTCTCTCACAAAGTATCTATAAATTTCAATGTGCTTAGTTCTATCATGCTAAACGAGATTACTAACTACTTTAATTGCTGTTTGATTGTCATATAGAGTTTTAAAGGCTAGTGACAACCATTCCCAATTCCTTTAGAAGAATCTGAAGCCACAATAGTTCAGCAACTCCATGTGCTATAGCTTAATATTCTGCTTCAACACTTGAACTTGCTACTATGGTCTATTTCTTACTTCACCAAGTAACAAGATTTCCTACTATAAATGTGCAATATCCAAAGAGAGTTTGAAAATTTGAGATCTCTTAGGTGAAAATTGTTTGTTAGGCTAGATTGAAGTTTGTGAAAATTTAAGATCATCAAAAGAAAAAAGATCATCTTTATCCATCACCATTCTCCCTTTACTCTCATATAGTCCAAATTATCCAGGCTATGGTTTCACAATGGAACAATTCATTCTCAAGGATACCTTTTATAGTTAATCTCTTGGCCATTTCCTTGTTAAGGATGAAAGTTTGAAACTTTATCTTATGGTCAGGTTTCTCTCTATGCAACATTTTGTTTGCCATTTTAGCTTTTAAGGTTCCTTGTCTTCCATACAATTGTTTTTATGTATAGGAATAACACAATGTCAGCTATGAATCCGATTGAATTGAGGCCAAGAACACAATATTGCAGCTGTTAGCTGCAATACAAGAAAAAAATCTTGCAAAAGAAATGGGTGTGGAGCAGCTTCTGGTTGAAGGGGACTCTAAGACAATGGTGAACTTGTTAAATAATCCGGAGGATGTCACATGGAACTACAAGAATGAGATAAAGAAATTCAAATGACTGACAAGAAATATGTCTGTAACAGTTCAGTGGGTTGGGAGATCAGCTAATGCATTTACTGGTGTCTTGGCAAAACAAGGGACCAACAGGGAAACATTGTTTTGGGCGAAACTGTAATTTCTGTCTTTTAACAGTCACACACTTTTTTATGTAGTTTTTGTGTTTTCTGTATCGAGAGGCAGCATTTCGCACCTCTCTAAGGGGATTCTCATGTAACCAATCTTTGAATTAATGGAATATGATTTACTTATAAAAAAAAATATAAATAAATCTAAAATTTGAGATCCATTTTGCTTAATTGAATTAAATTGAGTAGAATCATATAGTTCATAATTTTCTCTTAATAAGTTCTGCATTATTGATTAAGAAGAAAAACTTATATAAGATAGAATAATAAGCAACAAACCTGACCAATAGGACCCATTTTGAGAATGTTCTGGAATTGCTCATACATAATACGTAAAGTGAAGTTGCCTTCAGAAAGCTTTTGCAGAAGCTCAGGCTGTTGATCCATAGGTACAACTTCATGAATTTTGTCCATGAACCCAGACCAATCACCCATGCCTGAAAGGAACAAGATATAAAATGTGAACACTTAATACACCTTGGGGCATTAGGTAATATCATAAACTTTCAAGCTGTGAGTAAATCAAACGTAAAGGTGCCATCATGGTGGAGGGTGCAGCTACCTAATAGACGACTAACAAATGGTTTAACATCAAAAACTTCGAATTCATCCATGTGCTCTCCAGTTCCAATGAATATTACAGGACTTTTTGTTGCAGCAACTCTACAAATATAAAGAAAATTTTAATTAAGCATCAATGTTAATGCAAAAGAAAAAGAAAAAAAAAAGATGAAAATGTACTTAGACAATTATTATTAAGATCAGAAATACTAAAGATAATGAAAATAGTACTTAAGCACAAAACAAGGTAGAGCTTCTACTCTTTCCCTTAATGTTGCAACTTGCAAGTGGTCCCCAGGCCCCCCCTCCCCCCTTCTTCAGCCCTATTAACCTCCCTTGCATATGTTTCAGACAAGGCATTTTCTGACCTTTCTAATCCAAGTGAGTGAGATATTCAGATTGTTGCAGAGTGTTGGATATTATTTTTAAGCAGGGGTATTTATAAAATTTTATCTAAATACAGAATGCTAGTCCCAGTTGACTCCCCTATTCTAGTCAACTCACCCAATTTCTCTTCTCCCTCTCCCTCACTCCTATTACAGAAGAAACTTTACATCTGATCCAATCAGACAGACTAGTTGATAAGATGGCATATCCTTCGCCCCACACCTGCTGACCTCTTGAGCATAAAGCCCTACTGATAATCATTGTCATCAGGTTGTACAATGGCATTCTGCTTGAGCTTGATATGTGGATTATTATTGATGTGAAAATTGAAAGGATTCAGTTTGGTGGTTTTTATTATGAATTCCTTAAGAAAATTTCAGAGTGGAGTAATCTGATTGGGGTATTGGTTGTTCACAATTTGTGCGAAAAAAATCGAATTAGAAGATTTTGCATTAAATAAGTTTTTTATAACTAACTGTCCTGAATTTTATTAAAAGAATGAAGGAAAAAGTTATTAGTACAATGGTTGTGGAGATGGGCATCAGAAAGGGAGAGGTTGTAGTGTGAGGTGGTAGCAAGTACTCATGGTTGCTTGAATAATGGTTGGGATGCTGGTATCCTTCCTCAATTTTTTTTAATTTTGTCAGGTATGATGTTTGTTTTGGGAAGATATTTGGGTGGGGTGGGAAACTTAGCTCTCAAGGACCTCTTTCCCTCTCTTTTTACTCTATTTCATTGCTTAAGAAAGAGGTTGTTTCTCAATTTCTCCCATCCATTATCCTCCCTCTTTCCTTAAGTTGAAACTTTGGCTTCCAAAGGGGTTTAAAGGATGTTATTCTTTTTCTTGGCAATGTCTGCTTGGATCCTCACAAGTCGGATAGGAGGATTTGGTCCCCCCCCCATCCAAATGGTTACTTAACTTTTTTCTTTGATAAATAAATCAAGATATCATTAATAGAAGAATAATGCAATTACAAGCTTTCCATGGAGAGGCGCGAGCTGTGTCCTCTCCTAACAACAAGAATAAAGAAAAAGATAGAAAACAGATTCAGTCTACAGTTGAGCCCATTACAATCTTTCCCTATTTGCCCCTTGCTTTGCAAGACGAGCCATAGCATTTGCTGATAAAAGATTACTTGTGCTTCCTTTTTTAAGACCCTTTGTTCATCTTTTGTTCCTGTAAGTGGCATGGTAAGGCTAAGTGTAGTGGTCTCCTTAGAGGACAAAGAAAGGCTAGGAGTCTCAAGTAGTGAGGGTAGGCTACGATATTCTATTGATAGAATCATGTGTTTGATATAGTCTACGCTCCCTTTTATAAGGAGAGATCCCGAGGCCCTAAAGGGAAGGAGCCAAAAGGGATTTGACTCCTATTTGGAAAGGGGATCCTTAATTCGATATCGACTGACAGGAGGGCGTTGCTGGGGGTTCGCCACATGTCACACAAGATCTCCCCAAGACAGAATTTCCTTTCATCCGAGGATTCTCCTAGTGCACATATGCTACTTCCCTTCACGGGTCCCCTGTGTTGACGTGGCGTGGGTGACATCGGAGTTAGTCTGACGTGTTGGCCTACTTGCTCCGTCATCGGCTGGTTATTCTATCACGAATAGTCTTTGGCTTGTAAATGCATGTCGATTCTTAAATGTACCACAGGTCCGCAACGCTCTTGAGCTTATCGCAGATTAGTGACGAGTTATGGGCTCACTGCAGATCCGCATTAACTTGTGTGTCACCATGGGTGTTTTTGTGGTTCCAATTTGGTACCTTCATCGCAATCGCAATTATGGTGAATATCATGTACTTACAATTAGCCCCCATGCTTATTGTTAAGGGTAAGCTTATCAATAAGCATTTGCGAAGTTGGTGCGTTTTAAAAGGCAACAGTGAGGTGAGGATTTTGTTTTGAATTCGGGGGGTATTTGATAGGAAGCAATTGTGGGTTTGGGGTTTTTAGCATTGATGCAATTGGTCTATTTTCTCTTTGAGGTCTAATTCGGCTCTTGTGTTATTAGCCCCCTTATTTCTTGGCCGGAAGGCTTCTATCGAAAGTCATTGGTATTGTTACTTCTGGTTTTGCAGCCCCCCATGACTTTCGACAGAGGGCTTCCTAGCAAGAAACACGTATTTACTTGGGTAGGCTGTGGGAGTGTTCCGTTTGGTAGTGGGATGTCCTGTGTCAATGTTATTCTTAATGAAATACCGGGTAGTGTGAACGATTTCCCATGTCTTGTTTACACTGTGTTTATGTAACTATTTTTGTCGTGCATGGTGTTGAACTATACTGTTAGTCTGAATTCTAAGAGATGAACGTTGATTGGCTGGTGGGGTGCAATGGATGATGTAGTGTGTAGCCCATAGTTGTCAAGGCGTCGCCTAGGCAACTAGGCGCCCTTGGCTGGGCGCCTCGCGCAAACGCCTTGACTTTTAGCAACTAGGCGCCCTTCTAGGTGACTAGGCGTCTGCCTAGGCGACAAAAATGACAAGGCGGGCGCCTTTTATAATATCATTTATATTGTTGTATCTTATTAATGTATGTGTTAGTACATTTTATTATATGCTATATACATATAATATATCTATTATATTTTGTTTTAATGTTTTACTATTAAAATTTAAAAGATCAAAGGGTTTTGAGAAGAGAAAAAGAAAGAAAGAAAGAAAGAAAGAAAGAAAGAAAGAAAGAAAAGAAAAGAAAAAAAGGGGAAAGTAACAACAGAATAATAAAGTTCCTTTTTTCTATTCTCACTCTAATTAAATAAAACTGAAACTCAATCCTTGTTTGTTTTTTTTTCTATTTTACTTTCCATCTTAAATATTTATCACATAAAATTAATAACCTTCTTTAGCTGCTAATTAATATGAATTTGCTCTATTAAATACTTATTATAGTAGTATTATTTTTGAAAATAATGAAATTAATATATGTAAAAGATTTTTATCTTTTAGATGTGATGATTCGCCACATTTTTAGAGGAAATTTAATGTTCTTAATAAAGAGAATTGTTATTTTTCAATTAACATACATGCTGAATGGTATATAAAACTAGGAAACTAGCCAATAGTCAGTTTTTCATATTATAAAATTTTTATCGCCTAGGCGACTAGGTGACTAGGCGCCCTAGTGTTGCCCAGAATCGCCTAGACACCTTGAAAACTATGGTGTAGCCATCATTTACGCTACGGGTACAAACATTTGGCGGTTACATTTGAATCATAGCGATTTTAAGTCGCTTCCTTTTTATTTGGGACACTAACATAACAGTACATCTCCCAATGAAAAGGTGACGGGTAACCCGGGCAGCCATCACTTTTCTGTGGTGTCGTTTCGGTTGCCAGATAGTTTCCAAATTATCTTTAAAAGCGGGGTGAGGAGCGGTCTACTCATTCGTTTTTGTCTTGATCTATTGTGTTGCCGTTGTTGTGACTACTTGGTGACTCCATTCCCCTTCTACTTGCAGTTTTTTCCATTTAGGGTTGTTGCATTTTGCATTCGATGGCACCACGCAAACAATCTAAGGGTTCTCACAACAGTGGGAAGTCCCATGCACGGGAAGAGGTAACTAAGAAAGTTTGTTCGTTCCTAGACTTTGTCTGGGACGTAAATACAGTGGAGTTGCTCTCCGACTACAAGTTTGAAGGGTGGCTGACTCAGGGAGGGGATTTTGGCCTCCAGTGCCTGTGGTGATGGGCACGGGAAACACCTTTAATATTGTTCAAGGCAAGGAGCTTCTCTATCTATATGAGCGCAATAGGCGTGCAAAGTCGTCTACCGTTGCACAGAACCTAGGATCGTGGGCTCTGAAGGCTTCATCAACTACACTTCATGGGCGTCATTTATCCTAGAGAACCCTATGTACTGTAGGCTACTGCATAATGCATATTTGTTGACGTTTGTGGAATGCTTCATGGGTCTTTGAGAGGGTAGTGGTGTGGATTTTGTGGAACCGTTAGTGGCACATTGGCGTTGCCGTACCCACACCTTTGTTGGTGCATTCGGAGAGTTTGGTGTTACGATAGGGGATGTCATAGCTTTACTGGCGCTGGCGTTGGTACTTTATCATCACGTCATCTCCAGCACCCGAAAAGTATCCCTGGGGAATTGGTTCCTGTATATGAAGAGTTGGTGGCTGAAATAGACCACTTTAAGTTGAAGATGAACTCTACTTCTACTCGGGGCAAGATGACACTTGATGGGTGGATGAAGAAACGGCTCGAGTACCATGGCGGCAGTAACTCCATTGTGCGGAAGATGAACAGTCAGTGTCACCTGGCTACTTTTGTTCTTTACTCTTTACCCAACTAGTGACATTGGTCGTTTTGGTTGCCAGGGGACATCAACTGTTGTTGGTGTCGATGTTTCTCGGTTATTTGAATGAGTAGATGCATGACACAGTCCATTAGATTATGGATCCTGGATGTGCACGTCAATCTTCATATGTGTTTTGCCCATTCTTGTTAACGTTTCTCTTTGAGCACTTTGATTTGGATGTCGCGCCTTGCGAGCTATCCCCTTTCAATGTGCATGTGGCAACGCTGGATGAAGCAGAGTCTCGGCAGGTCTCGTTTGACGTCTGTCAGGGTAAGCTGTGGTTGAATGCGAAGCGGGTAAGGGTTTTGGTTTTAATAGGATAGAAGCCCGATTTGCCAGTTTGGATGGCTTTGAAGCCCGCCAATATGTTCAGTACGTGCCCCATTCCATGCCATTCTGTGTGGGA